CAGCGGTTAAGAACACTGGCTGTTCTTGCAGAAGACCCGGGTTTGAATCCAGCACCCACATGGCAGCTAACAACTGTCCATAGCTCCAGTTACAGGGGATCCAACAGCCTCTTCTGTCCTCCGTGAGCATTGCATGACACAGGTGCACTTACCTACACGCAGGCAATGCACGCATACACATAAAATAAAAATAATAAATAATATTGTTTTAAAAATCTAGAATGAGCTGGGCATGGTGGTGCACGCCTTCAATCCCAGCACTTGGGAGGCAGAGGCAGGCAGATCTCTGTGAGTTTGAGGCCAGCCCGGTCTCCATAGTGAATCCAGGACAGCTGAGGCTATAGGGAAAACCTGTCTCAAAAAGACCAAAAAAAAAAAAAAATCTAGAACAAGAGTCTAATAATCCCACTACTGGGCATATGTCTAAAGGAAATAGGTGTGTCAAACAGACATCTACACTCCTATGTTTATTACAGCATTGTTTTACAGTCACCAAAAAATAAAATAAGTGTCCATCATTCTATCAATAGATAAAATGTAATGCATGTACACAATGGGATATTATTCAGCCATGAAAGGTGAAGTCTGATCATTTGCAACAATGTGGATGGAATTGGACATGATCATGTTAAGTGAAATAAGCCAAGCACTTAAGATAGTGCCATTGTGGGTGGAAACTACAAAGTGAATTTCAAAGGAATACATATAGATGGTGGTGCCAGAGACAGGAAAGGGCAAATATGAAAGGAGGAAAGGATAGAGGGGCATTAGTTACTACTGACAAACATGTCAGAGTTCCTGGTGTTCCATATCACAGGAGGTTAACCTCATCTAACCTAGCTAATTTATTGTCAATGTCAGAAAGTTAGAGAATTTTGAATGTCTCTAACTTGAAGTGGCTAAAATTTGAGATTATTGATACGTTGATAATCCTTATTTAATCATAACAGATTGTGTACACATACTAGTATATGCATATATAAACATATCATACTGTACTTCAGGAATACATACAATTATGTGTTAGTTTTAAAATGACTGTAAATGTTCCAACTAGAAAATCTAAATTTGTGGTATCTACTAACAGGAGAATGGGAATGAAATCCAGTTCATGGTTCTAGGCTACAAATCGGTATATTTGAGTTTTCAGTAAATGGTCAGTGTTCACAGATACAGAACTGAAAGCCATCATTATATTTAGAAAAGAAAAGCTCTAGGCATTGTATTGGCAGGGAGGTACAGAGTAGTTTAGTAAGGAGAATGAAGGCAAGATCAGTGAATATACAGAATCTGGGAGAGTCAGGTGTCCTAAAGTTAAGTGAAGAAAATGCTTCAAGAAGAATGGTACCAAATGTTGTTGATAGAGCTTGGCAACATAGACATTTTCAGTGAACCTGATGAGCAATGGAGTGGTAGCCCAGTTAGAGCAGGTTCAAGAGAACACGAGTGACGATGAAGGAGACTTAGAAATATCAGGCAACCTTTGTACCTTATTGAGACCTAATTTGTATTCAGTAAATTGATACTTTGAGAATCTGATGCATGCTATTCAAGTGCTCTTCCACTGACCTACACCCTCAGCCCCTCCTAAACTACACATACCCAACATACATGAGTGTAATGCATTTTGATTAACCTGTTACCCTGCAAGGTTTCCTTATGACTCCAGTCCCCAAGTCTGCATTTGGTGGATCACTGTAGATTAGTTTGTTTCTGTAATTTAATTTAAGGACTCAGTGCACTCTCTATCCTTGTCTGACTTTCCTTCCATATGTGAGACTCACCCATGCTGTCTAGTATCATTTGATTCTCTTTTTATTGCCAAATAGTCCTCTCTTGAATGGTATACCGCAATCTATCCACTCACCTTTTGATAAACATTTACGTGATTTCCAGTGTTTGTCTATTACAAATGAAGCTGCTAAAAAACTTTGTAAGTTGTGTGAACATACGCTTTTATTTCTCTTGAGTGTATAGGAGTTGCTCTCAGGATAATTCACATGATAGTCATACATGTAGTTTTTCGAAACAACTGTAACCTATTTTCCAAAGTATTTGAAATATGTTGTATTCTCATCATCATTGCAAAACCTGATAGTCTTTAAATTTTATTCATTGTAGTGAGACTTTAATTGATAATATTGTGGCTTAAATTTGTGTTTTCTTGGTGACTGATGATGGTTATCTTTCTGTGTGCTCATCTGTACACTATTGGTGAACTATCTTTTCAAATATGAAATAAAGCTACTTTTGACCCAGGCTTATAATACTGGCTATTTGGGAGGCTGATGCAGGAAGGTCACTTGAGCCCAAGAATTTGAAGTGCCTGAGAACATATCCTATCTCGGAATAGAAAACAGTCTTACTCTTACATGTTGGTATGCATGTACAACATCTAAAATAGTGTAAATGTTTTAAGTAGAGACTGATTATACTTTTTAAAAAATACACCTTAGGGGCTTGAGAGATGGCATGGTGGTTAAGAGCACTGGCTACTCTTGCAGAGGACCCAGGTTTGATTCCCAGCACCCATGTGGCCCTAACTCCAGTTCCAGGGGAATCTCAAAACATTTTTCTGACCTCCACGGGCCCTGCATAACACAGGCCGTGCACGACATGGGTGCAGTTATATGCATGCAGGCAATATACTCATACACCAAATATAATAATAAAATATTAATAAATAGAATAAAAATATACTTTAATTCATAATGGTAACTCACAAGAGATTGGGTTATCAGTGTAACTGAAGGAAATAACTACAGTCTTCCTAATCCAAACAGGTTGCAGCATTGCAAGAAGAGAAAAGCAGTTTATTGGCAGAAAATCAGATACTAATGGAGCGACTTAATCAGTCCGATTCTATAGAAGATCCCAACAGTCCAGCAGGAAGAAGACATTTGCAGCTTCAGACTCAGTTAGAGCAGCTGCAAGAAGAAACATTCAGGTAAAACACCACTCATTCATTACAAGTAATTTTTAAATCCTTGGTAACTGTCATTTAAACCTAAGGCTAAAAGGACAGTGACACTAATAAAGGTGCTTGCCACCAAACCTGACTACCTGAGTTCAGTCCCTGGACTCTACATGATGGAAGGAGAGAACAGACTCCAGCAGTTGTTGTTTTCTGACTTCCACTAAATAAACAACAAATAAATAGTTAAGAACAGAGTTTTGGACTTTTGGGTCACTGTAGACCAAAGTGGCTGTATAATAGTTTCCCAAAATCTTCCCACACAACGTGAAATATCTTCACACCTAGGAAAATTCCATCAAAGCTTTGAAGGCACAAATGCTTCAGCTGCAAAATAACAGTGAGTGAAAGGCAGAAACCAAGCACTAGTCCTGCCGCCCACATACCTGTCCTGTTGGCACCTGCCTGGAGCCCTGTGGCAAGCAAAGGCAGACAGAGACATGGAGAGGCAGGAGGAGTGCTAGTAATCAGGAAATGGGAAACTGACACAAGATCTAAAATCACTTTACTAAAACATTACTGTGGGAAAGAGGTAAGAGTTCAACATTTTGTCATATGCCAGTTTATTTCAGTCGAATACATTTTTTTATTGAAATTTAAAACCATTAGAAATACTATCAGAAAATGTACAATTAAAAGAAAAATCTGCATGGGGCTGGGAAGTGGGCTTAGCTGGTAAGAGCACTTGCTCTTGCAAAAGCTGGGATGGGTTCCCAGTATCTACATGGTGGCTCACAATCATCTGTATCTCCGGTTCCAGAGGATATGACACTCTTCTGTCCTCCACAAACACCAGGCAGTGCATATAAATATGTGTAAGCAAGCACTCAAATAAATCTATCCTTTTTTAAAAGAAATTTCAGCTAGACATGGTGGCATACACCTTTAATTCCAGCACTAGGGAGGCAGGTGGATTGCTGTGAAGTTGAAGCCAGACTGGGATGGTCTACATAGTGAGTTCCAGGCCAGTTGGGGTGACATAGATCCTGCCTCAAAAGAACCCCGCAAAAAAGGAAATCCAAAATATGCACTAAAAGCAGAAACTAAAGTATGGGATTCAATTGAATTACATTAAACTAGCAACTCTACATTAAGTATATATAAAAGTACATGAAATACTTTTGACCAGAGATGTGAAGGGCTTTGTAAGTGAAGGAAAGGATATATGCTAAGTGAACAAACCTGGTTAATTAGTCATAGGAATAGCATTAACCATGTTTGGGGAAAATACTGTTAATAGAAACCAAACCAGATGATAGGTACCAAAACTGTTGACAGAAGTTGGCCAGATATGGATTAAAACATGATTTTTATTTTCTTGATATATATTCTTATTGAAAATTAGCAAACTACAAGGTCCTTTCTGTCTCCTGTTACAAGTATTGATGTAATTGATTGATCTTGTTTTCATGACTTTTGTGATATGGGTATAGTTTGTGGCCACAAAAGTAGATATGTTTAAGAATTTATTCCAACGTTTTATGGTTTTGTTTACTTTTATTCATCCAAGGAAAATTACGAGACACTGAATACTGCTTTTGTATCTATTTTGTTTTGGTTGCAGACTAGAAGCAGCCAAGGATGATTATCGAATACGCTGTGAAGAGTTAGAAAAGGAAATCTCTGAACTTCGGCAGCAGAATGATGAACTAACTACTTTGGCAGATGAAGCTCAGTCTCTAAAAGATGAAATAGATGTTCTTAGGTAAACAACCTTCCCTTCACCTGGACTGTCAGATTCACTGCCACTCAGAATAGTTCTCAGATCTTGTAAACTGTAGCATCTCTTAGCACACCCACACATTGAAGAGTAAACCAGACCACCTGGTTGAGACCCCAGGGTCTCCATTTATTAACTTCTATATAACCATTTCTCATGTATAAAATGGAAATAACGCATTCAAATTTAAGTAACTAAATGACTTGATAAGCATTTAAAATTGATCTCTGGCAAATAAGTGTCAGGTAAATGTCTGTTAAATACCTGTGACCATCACTCCGCACTTGTATAGCACTGATACTTTCTTACTATACCCTTTAAGACTTCTGAGTCCTCTGGGCCTTTGGTCTTTGTCTTACCATGGGCTTCATTTCCTTGCCGGACATTTTCTTCTTCCCATCAAGTGTTCACTCTCTAGGTACCTCACTGCCTTCCCCTCACTGTTTCACCTTGTGCTTCTTGCACAATTTCATCCTCTTGGATCATTCCGGCCATTTGTGTTTTCCACTCTTGTTCTTGGAATACAAAAATGTATCGAGAACATAACATACTTCTGTAATTTGGTCCTATTGCAAATTGTTCTTACTCTAACCCCTGGCCTGCTACTTACTAGTACCCTGTCTCCTATTTCTCGCATAGCTATTACATGTTTTTGTAACTCTTCTGTCTGCTGCCCACCACACCTCCTTCATGCTTTGCTTAGTCTCCTTGGATGGCTCAGACTGGCTGCTTTTCCAGAGGGCCTTGGTTTGATTCCCAGCTCCCACATGGCAGTTATCTTCTGTAACTCCAGTTCCAGGGAATATGATATCCTCTTCTGGCTCTTCAGGCATTGCACACATGCAGTACATTTATATACATGTAGGAAAAATGCTCATACATTTAAAATAAATTTTTATAAAAAAATTTTTAATTTACACTCTCTTGAACTTCCTAAAATTTGCCACCACCCTACCCCCATTTCTCTACTGAAACCTGTGCTATGGGTCACTAATGACATAGTAGTTACCAA